AAAAATCACAACCTGTTTCCTTGTGAAAACTTCAGTTGGTGTGGAAGACAGGAATGTAAATGATCAGAGCACGTGATAATCTCAATGACAGACGTGCTTCAAGTGCTGCCAGAGTGCCAGGTGAATCACGGCTATCGTGGTTCTAGAGTCAGAATCATTACCAAAGACTGCCATTAGAGCTGTCTCAAGCAATGAGCAATAGTTCACATGTAGAAAGAGATGAAAGGATGTTCCAGGAAGAAGAAAAGACACCCACAAAGGCCTGCCAATATGGAATATCAAGGCATGTGAGGAGGGTGAAAACTGCTTTACTTGTGTTTGTTTGTAGTTCTGTGGCATGGAAAGTGAGTGGGAGTTAGTGACGTCGAGAGGGACATGAGCTTAGAAAGGTAGATTAGAGCCAGCTCATGAAGGGGCTCATATTCCCTGCTAAGGAATTTGGATGTTTTTATAGTAGACAATGGAAAATAAACTAAACATAAGAAACTTTTATCTTATTACTTTAGGAAAATAACTCTTATGACTACTTCAAATAAAGCCTGGATGCAGAGAAAATAGTGAGACCATTGTACCACATAGGAGCACAAAATCTTGATGTGTGTGTGTGTGTGTGTGTGTGTGTGTGTGTGTGTGTGTGTGTGTGTACATGCTGCTATGTGTCAGCAGGCACCTGTGGAGGTTAAAAGTTGTTCTTGGGGTGCATTTTCCTGTTGCTTTTCCTTTTGATATAGGGCTTCTCACTGAACCCCAGGCTCATAGTTAGTTAGGCTGGCTGGCCAGTGAGTCCTCAGGGTCCTTCTGTATCTTCTCTTCAGCACTAGGGTTATGGACATGCAATACCACACCTGGCTTTTTATGTGCATGCTAGTCAGAAATCATGTCCTCATGCTTATGTGGCCAACATTGTACCCATTGAACCATCTCCCCTGTCCTGGAACCACTTAGTTTGAAGATGCTGCCAGATAAGGAATGCCCTTTGAAAGAATTCTAAACCTTGTTGGAAAAATATCTAATATGCTACATTTATCTTCAGACAATCGCAGCACTAATTCTAGTTCTTAACCATTGACAACTTGTATGTGTGTTGTACTTGGGTTTAGGTGTTTGTGTGAGTGTGTGTATGTGACAGAGGTCAACATAAGTATCTTCCACAATCACTCTATACCTACATATTTTTTTGAGAGAGGATCTCTCACTCACCCTGGAGCTCATCACTTAAACCAGGCTGTTTGTCTTACAAACCTCAGGAATATCCTGTCTTTGCCTTCCTACTGTTGAGATGAAAGAATCAAACAACAACGCTTAGCTTTTGATATGAGAATGTTGGGAATCAGAACTCTGATCTTATTGCTTGTGTGGGAAGCATGTTACAGAGTGAGCCATTCCCTGGCCTCAGCAATGGCAACTTCTAATTTCTAGGATATACATAGCAGGAGGAAGAATGTCAGGAGTTTAACATTTTTCTTTTAGTCAACGACTAGTGTATGAAACTGTATTATTGAAAACCATATGTCTAACTCTAAATTATAGCTTTCCCCACCACCATTTTCCCTCCACTTCTCACTGTAAGTTCCAAGAAGTCACAAAGCTTATAGTGTTCCTCTTGTTTATCAGCTCATTCTCTAGTGATCTGAGATATGCAAGCCAAGCCTAAGTTCTTGCCCAATCTTCTACTCATCCATCATGAATCTTTTAACAGATTCACCTTAAGTCAGTATACAGACAAACAGGAACACCAGAGCTGTATTTCTCTTCAAAATTACAGATTCCACAAAAAGTTGGTTGGAGGGGACAGATACTAGTATTCAACAGTTCACATCCTGGGGTATTCTCAGTTTTCCTTCTTTGCTATTTTCCAGGCTACTCATATGATTATCCAAGTTAAGGGAACCTTGGCCAAAGTATGTGATTAGAGAAATAACTCACAGCAGAAAGATCACTTGCCTTGTACTGGATCTACCTAGGATTTCATCTCTCCATGGCAGTCATTAGCATATGGAACCCAGAAAGATTTCCTCTGCCTGGGCTTTAGGGTCCTCATCTATAGAAGGGCAGGGTAGGACCTGGAAACTTTTGAAGATTTTGGTTGCTATGACATTCTGAAAGTCTATAATCCTACTGAAGTCTAGGTGCCCTTTGGAAAGAGTGATGGGAATGAGAGCAAAGACTCTGAAGTCCTAGTGAACTGGGCAGACTTCATCTTGGGAGGGACTTCAGAGACGTGATTGGCATGTGCACTGTAGGTCACTAAGAGCTTTTGTCCCAAGGAGGGCCTCTAAGGTGTTATCATTCCCATCATTTCATGAAGAAAATGAAGCACAGAGAATGAAATGACTGTAGTAAGTATTTTATGTTAATTTTCTTGTTTAATTCATTCACACAATAATCTTAAGACTTTTCATACTTACTCTTCTTTCCCACCCATTATTTATTTATGTGTACAAGGGGTGTCTATGTGAGTATTTATGGATATGTGTATGTGGGTGCTTAAGTCTAGACCTGCATGGGAAGGCCGGAAGATGTCAGGTGTATTCTTCCATTACTTATCACATGTTCTTCTAAGGCAAAGTCTCTTCTTAAACCTGGGTCTTCACAGCTGGACTAGGCTAGAAGCCAGCATGTCTGCCCCAGGGATCCTCCTGGCTTGGTTCCCCCCAAAGTTGGAGTTATGGGCTATTACAGGGGATGCCTGCAAGGTTGTTAGGTGACTGCTGGGATCTGAATGCTGGTCCTCAGGATTGCAGAGCAAGTGCTATTAACCACTGAACATCTCTCTAGCCCAATGGTTGCTTTCTTTTTAACCATAAAAAGAACATAAGCAAAATAATATAAGGAGATCTGTACTTTAGATTGCATTGCATATATAGAATGAAGAATGACAAAGCTTTGTAAAATAGGAAATTGTATGCCCTATTTATGGAAGGTAGCTAGCTGTTGTCAGGCTGATGAGAGGCAGGCTTCCTAAGACAGATTGAATTTTAAAAAGAAAACCTGGAGATCTAGAATCTTAATTAAAGTCTCTTTATTTATAAATATTAGTTACTACTTTTAACAAGATGCAGAGAAACATAGAAGATACCCAACTTGTGTTCATGTGGCTCAGGGGACCACCTTGTTTATCCTGTTCTGAACTGCGCTGTCTCCAAAGGCTACTCCATCACATTAAGTGGCTTACACTGCTTTGTAAGGCTGCTCTATAGCATCCTCCAAGCACCTGCTGTGCAGCAGCCTCTATCCTCAGCTTCAGACTGGGTTGGAGCAGATACCCATTGACCCAGCTACATCTGTTGCCTGTGGCATGCTTACTCTTGAGAGGGTGTTGGATATTTTGAAGATCATTCTTGATAAGATGGTTTCATATGAAAGAATTTGCTGTAGTCTCTATGACAACTGTAGAAAGGAGATTGAATTTTATACATTTTACAGAAGGGTAAATTAATATATAGTTCAGTTATTTAGGTCCCCAAGCTGTAAGTCATCAACAGGAGACACTAGATCCAGCTCTGACTCTACCTTTTTGTCATTCTAAAGTTGACTTGAGTTTAGACTTTAGACTTGATTGCTTTAAGTGAAGGGATGCTTCTGTTGTTTCCTCTATCTTGTGAGAATCTGAGGCAAGGAGAAGGTAAAGCATAGAATCATTTTCCAGGAGAGATGATACCTCCACATTTTCTCACCACCTTCACCATTGGGTCCTGCTGGGATGGAGAGAGAATTGACAGAGTAAAGGAGGAGGAAGAAAACAATAACCAGCTTCTTCATAGCCTGGAAGCTTTAGCACTAAGGCAAGACACTCCCAGCTCTGTAGGTGACTAGGTGGACAGCGCACGGGGAGGGAATTGGCTGGTGGAATGTTACCTTGGGCAGATGCCAACCAGCTGTCTCATGGTCTGAGCCAGACCCACGACTCTTTATATAAACACAGTCCTCTGCCCAGATGTCTTAGCCTGGATGACTTTGTGCCTGCTGAGGAGGGTGAGTCTGGAAGCTGGGTCCTGGGATTATGCTGGGGGTGATATTCAGGGGGTTCTCAGACTCAAAAGAATGAGGCATGACTAAAGGAGAAGCTGGGACTGAGGTACATCAGCCTGAGGAGAAAAACTGCATAAGAAGTATAAAACATGTAGAATTTATGAGGAGAGATGGGCTGTAAAGTGTATTTATCTTTGACAGCCCTGGTTTCTTCTCCAGGTACCATTTTCTTTTGTGAAGAAGATACCTTAGTTATTTATTTTGTGTGAGTAAAGACAAATGAGGATGGATCACCCTCTCCAGGGAACACAAACTTAGATGGCACAGCCATGTCTGAATGGAATGGCGGCCTGGCTCACTTGCTTCTCCCACTGAGTCCTTACATCATTTGCAGGACCCATCCACCACCGGGGAATGGCTCCCAGCACTTAGACACCTGCTACAAAAGGAAAATGTCTAGCTCTGTCTTCCAATGAAAGCATTTTTGGTATTTTGGGAGATTGTGAGAGGTGCTATGTTATATGATTCAATTGTCAAATTAGTCTTATGCTGTGCTGGTCACCAGGCTGCTGGAACACAGACAGGTGGCTCCGGGGAAACAAATGAGTGGGAGCTGATGTTTTTTCTTGTTAGCTAAGGGTAACATAGGAATGTATGCCTGAATGTTTTAGGTGTTGCTGTTATGACTTTGCTATGTAGATCCATAAGTCTGCCTCAATGTCCTTACACAAAGCCTTGAATGTGACAAAGGATCTGGCAGTCTCTGGGTTACCTCAGCTTAATTAACTCTATCTTGTATCTCAGAGGGTCTGAGGAGAAAATCTTTTTGAAGCCAGCAGGCTGTTACCCGCCAGATGACTAATAACAGCAACCTGCCTGGGCAAGTGCTCATGTTGATCCCAAGGCTAATGTGTTTTGTATATGAAGCATAAATGGATTTGCATACTTCTGTGAGGGTCTATTTAAATGAACTCACCTAAAAAAGATTGAATGCAAGGCAGCAAATATTAAACTCTGGGCCCGAGAGGTCTGGAATCTGCCCGAATCCTTGACTTTTCAGTGGACTCTGATGTAATGTGAACCTAGATGATGCCTGTGTTTTTGTTTTTATACATGTGTGGGGGAACCCAGGCTTCCATGGGTGTGGAAGCCTCATTTTGGGCTATGCATTGTAAGCAAGCTGTTACCTGTTCTGCCTGTAGGACTGTTTCCACCACCAGACTTTTTAAGTGTGGAGAATCTGCTTGTCATCAGCGCTCTCTGGTGGCGGAAATTGGTATGCCTACCTTTATATCCAGCTGTCCAGAATCCAGGGCAGGTCTCATAGACAATGGTGACTAGCACCGGCTCCAGCTAAGTCGGTATCAGTAAGGATTCTTGGATGAAGGTTGAGGCCATATGAAGACAAGCCAGAGAAGATGACAGACTCCTGGCTCTAGATCCTAGCTCCTCCCTCCCAACTCTCCAGCCTCTTGACCCTGGTTTCTCTACCCTCAGGTCTTGCTCACCCACCTGCATCAGGACCATGTGTGACCAGCAGCAGATCCAGTGTTGTGTGCCGGTACCCCAGTGCTGTGTCAAGGGTTCCGCCTTTGGTCCCTCACAGTTTCCCTATGCCAACAACCAGGTGCTGGTCCAAGCTCCATGTGAGATGCAAGTTCTGGAATATGCTGCACCATGTCCAGTTCAAGTTTCCCAGACTCCGTGCCAGTGCAGTACAACTGAAGTGAAGAGTCAGGCTCCATGCTCCACTAAGACCACCAAGGTTAAATGTCAGGCTCCATGCCAATCAAAGGCCACCCAGGTGAAATGCCAGTCTAAGACCACTGAGGTAAAGTGCCAGGCTCCCTGCCAGACTCAGGTTTCCTGTGTTCAGTGCCAGGCTCCATGCCAGTCTCAGGTTTCCTATGTGCAAGTACCACAACCTCTTCAGACCTACTATGTAGAATGTGCCCCCGTGTATTATACAGAAACTAGTTATGTGGAATATCCGGTTCCGACCTATGTGCCTGATCCAGCTCCTCGGCCTGTCCACACCTATGTAGAATGTCCCTCAGTGGGCCAGGGTCAGGGAAGTTTCTCCAGTCAGTGCCAGTATCAGGGCTCCTACGGTAGCTGCACCTCTCAATCACAGTCACGGGGTTCTTACAGCAACTGTGGTCCACAGCCTCAGTCTCAGGCTTCCAACAGTCGCTGTGTACCCCAATTCCAGTCCGGGCCCTCCTACACCAGCTGTGGCCCCCAGCGCCAGTCACAGGCTTCCTATGGTGGCTGTGCCTCCCAATTCCAGTCTCGAGCATCCTACAGCAACTGCTCCTCCCAGCGACGGTCTGGGGCTCCGTTTAGCACCTGTGCACCTCAATGCCAGGCCCAGGGCTCCTATGGCAGCTTCACATCACAGCAGCGTCGGTCTCAGAGCACCAGCCGATGCCTCCCTCCTCGTCAGCTGCAGCCTACTTATCGAAGCTGCTCTCCACCAAGGCGTTCTGAGCCCTATTACAGCAGCTGCCTGCCATCCCGATGTTCTTCAGGCTCCTACAACTATTGCACCCCACCCCGCCGCTCAGAGCCCATCTATGGTAGCCACTGTCCTCCTCGGGGCCGCCCTTCAGGTTGTTCTCAAAGATGTGGACCCAAGTGCAGGGTAGAGATTTCATCACCTTGCTGCCCCAGGCAGGTTCCCCCGCAGAGGTGTCCTGTCCAGATTCCTCCCATCAGAGGAAGATCCCAGAGCTGTGGCCGGCAACCCTCTTGGGGTGTCTCCTGCCCGGATCTGAGGCCACGTCCAGAATCACAGCCATTCCCAAGGTCTTGCGGGCCACAGCGTCGTGACTGGTCTCCAGCACCATCATGGCAGCGGTGCCCAGTTCCTGCACCACGTCCATGTCCAGAGCCACAGCGTCGTGACCAGTCTCCAGAACCAACATGGCAGCGGTGCCCAGTTCCTGCACCACGACCATGTCCACGTCCAGAGCCATGCCCAAGTCCAGAACCCCGCCCATGTCCTCCTCTGCGGCGATTTTCAGAACCGTGTTTGTATCCAGAACCATGCTCAGCTCCTCAACCAGCACCACGTCCAGTGCCACGCCCACGCCCGGTTCCCTGTGAGAATCCAGAACCACGTCCGTGCCCACAGCCCCGTCCATATCCAGAGCCAATGCCACATCCTGCACGCTGCTCCAGCCCAGAGCCTTGTGGGGAGCCCCTTCGCTGTCCCAGTCCCTGCTCAGGCCCTAATCCAGTTCCCCACCACCAAGAACTAGGTTGTCATGAATCTAACCCATGCCACCTGGATACTGAAGGCCCGAGCCCATACAGCTACAATCAGGGGCAAGAGAGTAACAGCAACTGTAGACCTGATGATGTTTTCCCAGGGCCACAGGATCTAGGTGGCTGTGGAGACCAAGGAAATACCCACGGTGGAGTAAAAGGTGGGGCTTATGCGGGAGCAAAGGGTGCTTATTTTTAAACAAAATGTAGCTCAAATGCCCCTGCTTCAGGTTCTTTAGAATATTTTCCTGTCTCATCTGGTTGACATCTCTCCACAGACATCGAGGTGCTCTCTGCTTCAAAGCTGTTATCCAAACTTCTTGTATGTCATCTCAGGTTCCACACCTGAGTCTCAGACATCATTCCAGCCTTATGTCTCACTCCTCCCGTGCACTCAGCTTTAATTCTAACCAGACCAGCTTGGCCACCAGGGCACTCCTTGGGTGTTCCTCCTGACATTCTCCAGATGCTCTTGCCTCAGCAGAGGCTCCCTTGGTTTGAACAATTTCTCACCTATTTCCCAGCATCCAAAATTGTACATGTCTTTCAATACCTCTTCCTTGAAGACTTTCGTTGTTGTTGTTGTTGTCTGCTCCCACCCATAAGAGCCTATTCTGACTTCCTAGAATTCATTGCCCATAACACCATCCATTTAGCAAGAGTTTGGCAGCACTCCTGAATTAATTTCTCTTTGCAGTTACTGCCTTTTCTGCCCAAATACATTGCAAACCTTCATCTAAGTAGGGTCAGTATATCCTTAAATCTCTGTGCCTATCTTAGGTCAGGTAATAGTTGATCAAGGTTGTGGTTGGCAACTTGAGCCACGTTCTGTCCTGTTGGGAAACTAGGAACTGGGGCAAGAGGAGGATGCATAATAATAAAAACTGGGTATGTTCACAGTTTGAGTCCTGTGTAATGTCTGCTCTTTATTTGATGCCAGCTTGCTGAGATGGTGTCTTTTTAAACCATGATGAAAATACATAAAACAAAATGTATTAACACAGCCATGTCAGAGCATGTAATGGGATTAATTATACTTGCATTGTTGTATTACCATCACCACTATTCATCTATCCTGCAGGACAAACACTCAATACCTCATTTCCTACTTCCCTTTAGCCTCTAAACATTACCATTCCATTGTCTACCTTTTAAAATTTGACACTACGTATGTCACAGGTAGACTCAAATGGTATTTGTACTTTCGTTATTCGCTTAGCATAGTGTTCTCCAGGTTCATCTTTGCTGTAGTATGTGACAGCTATTGAGGCAGCATAATATTACGTGGACTGTAGATACCAATTTAATTTGTTCAGCAATGAATGGCTAAGCACTTGAGTCGCTTCCATCATTTGGCTACAGTCAGTAATGGTCCAACCAACACTGGTATAAAATACTTCTTTGAATGTATGATTTCAATTCTTTTGAGTAGATATCAAGAAATGGAGTTCCTACATCATATGCTAAGACAGATGCTTCTATGTTGCTTTCCACAGTGGTGACATCATCCACAGTCCCACCCCAGCAGCATCGTTCACAGTCCCACCCCAGCAGCAGCATTCACAGTCCCACCCCCAGCAGCAGCATTCACAGTCCCACCCCAGCAGCATCATTCACAGTCCCACCCCCAGCAACATCATCCACATTCCCACCCAGCAGCAGCATCCACAGCCCTAGCCCAGTGTGCAGATCCTAATTTCTCCACATTCTTGTCAACTTTTGTTAGTTTCTGTGCTTTCCTTAAATACCATCCATCCCAATATGATGTGGTATGGATTTCATTGTAATGTATTATTTTGGTCTTAAGTTTATTGTGTCCATTGCCTGAGCATTCCTTAAACTAGCTGAATTAGCTTGGCTTATGGGTTTTCTGTCTCTCCTTCATGACTTTGTCTCCTGATGAATGAGGGAGCAAGGAGGATGACTCCCAAGCTAGGAGTAAGTGTGTTCAGCTCTGCATTTGGTAGTTGCCTGGCTGTAGCACTAGGGCTATAGTCAGAGCCATGATACCTCTGGATCCAGGGATGTAGGCGGGAGGACACATGGAAGCTCTCTGGAGATATGTTTTCTTTTGAATTAAATTATTTTCACTTATTTATCTATTATTTTATTATATAGAAAGCAAAGACTGATCCAGATTCAGAATGAATCAATTGCTTTAAAATCCTATTATGCATGATACTGTGCCCTCTGGGGGGGATGGAATCAAAGGGGCAGAAGATATAGAAGTCTTTTTTTCCTATTCCCTGCAGATGAGGTGAGTGATGTCCCCATGTGGGCCTGGAGGATGAGAATATTGGGGGACAGACTTCCCCCCAGTGTGAGGTGGTATCTGAAGGTCACAGTTATATACAGAGAATGACAAACTCCTCTGAGGAGAATGACAGCAGGGGCAGGTTCTGACATGGTCTTTGGAATGTCTGTTCCAATGACCTCTCCTCACACATCCCGAAAAAAAAACCTCAAAACTACAAGGCCGGAGCTGAGAAGACAGAGTCAAATCTTGGCTCTAAACATGCTGTTCCCTTGTCCCAGGGACCCAGGTCTGCAATGTCAGCTTTGGACATCTAGAGGCTATGCATCAAAACCCTGTGTGGTTTAGAGAAAAACTGGGGCCTTTGTGTGGGGCCCACTCCTTTATGCGCTATGGACAAACATCCATTGTTTACCTGCTAGAGAGACACTGATAAAAGGGACATAACTCCTGTTTGCTATCACGAAACAGCTTAGCAAATGGTTCATGGTGGCACCTGGAGCAGAAATGTCAACATCGTTATGTGTACTTTTCCTAAGGAAACAAACAAACATCTACCCATCCAGGATATGGCACCCATGGCAGGTCAGAGAAATGATTCCGTTTAAATCTAGCTTGGTGAATCAGTAGGCTTAATTAGGGTCACTTACAGGAGCATGAGTGAGGTGTTATATACAGAAGTAGGGGCAACTTATAAGTGCCCGAACAGTTGAAGAAAATGTCTTGCTCAGCAGCCATTAACCAGCTTTATTTATTCAGGAAGGGGTCAGTCCTCCTTTCCCCATGACAGACATTAATGGGCCCAATCTTCTGTGAATCTCATATAGGTAAACACGGCTCCTGAAAGTTCAAAAAGGCAATGGCATGTCATTCCTGGAGGACAGCATTCACAACACTCTCCCCCCTTCCTCCTATTCTTACATCATTTCAGCCCCTCTACTGTAATATTCCCTGAGGTTGGAGGGGATGATTTAGATATCACTTTTATAGGTGCGTGTTCAGCAGTCTTATTTTCATAGTATTTTTTGACCAGTTGTGAGTCTCTGTAGTAACTGGCGCCCACTGCATGCAGAAGTTTACTTGACCAAGGATGACAGCAGTGATATCTATGAATATAAACATAAATGCTTAGAACAATTTGACAGACACATCACATCCATTTAGCAAAACAGTGATAATTGTTTCCCCACTAGGGTCTATGATCTTCCTAGTCATCAGCTTTTGACTGGACTCTCGAGAATCAGGTGTGAGTTCCCTTCTGTAGATTGAGTCTTAAGACCAGTGAGAAAGTAGTCAGTTATACCCATAAAAGTCATGACGGTACAAGTAGAAGCCTCTTGCCTGGCATGTTGGTAGAGTACCATGCAGAATCTCTAGCTGGGTAGGATTGTTGATGGAAATTCTTTCCCAGCAATTTCTGACGCTGTGAAAGCTAGCCAGCAGGTAGGGAAGATGGAAGCTTCCATCTCAACCTCAGCTTCACTTCCCTGTGTCCTGTAACCAAAGTCTGCAATATCTTTATAAATAAAGTCTTATTGTCTAGTTCTAGTGGGCAACCAACAGCCAAATTAATAGCCTGTATTTTGGGGGGGGGTCCTCAGGGGCCACCTTGGTTGATGATTTGTAGGAAGATAGACCACTCCTGATGCTGGGAGTTTAATCTAAATCACTTTGTGACTTCTGGGAGCATCTTTGGGTTACTGCCTCTCAATCAGCTATACCTGCTTATTGAGAGATCCTTGGCCTGGACATGATTTCCAACTGTAGTATATTGTCTTGAAGGCAAGAAATGTACACATGCTTCTTCTGGGGGTGGGGTGGGGGCAATGGTGGTGGTGACAAGGCCTTACTCCTGGGACAAGCTTAGTCTTTTTCACATGCACTGTTATGTCAGAATTCTGGCCTTACACACATCTTATCATATTTGATTTTTGATGACCCAAACAGGACCTTTCCTATCTCATAAAGACCATTTCTTATTATGGGATTCAGCAAAGTCACAGAAACCCCATACCTGGTCCTTGTTGAATCAACCACTTTCTTAACCATTCTGGGAACACAGTCCTACTTGGCCCAGTGAACTGGGCTTCAGACACTGCCTCATTCATGCTCAACTCTCTCAGAGACACAGGTTCTTCCTCTATTGACCCCTAGTACCTGATATCCATAGATACCTCAGCTGGAAATAACCAAGTGTCCTTTATGTTGTCTCAGATTACAAAATCTTTGTCTTATCCAATTTCCACACTTCAGTACTCAGACTGATCCCTTCTCCTCCCATGACCCACAAACTCATGAGCTGTGCTGTTAGAGTCTCCTATTTCTTGCTTCTTTTTAGTTTAAGCAGTTCAGGGGCAGAATATTCTCTGGTTATCAGTCTCCTGTACAGTTCCCTACTATAAACCCTACTTACATGCTGTATTATGGATAGATTTTCCCTTCCTTTATATTAAAAATCAGACATGAGAGGCACAATCTGTAACTTCTACCTTATGCTCTCCCTCTTCACTGTCATATTTTCCACATGGATTCGAATTTTCAAGAAGAGACTTGTGATGGCCAATCTTGGTTGTCAAGTTGAGTGCATCTAGAATCAACTAAAACCCAAGCAACTGGAAACTCCTGTGAGAGATTTTCTTGACAGGATCATTTGAGGTGGAAAGGTCCATCCTAAATCTGGGATCTACCTTCTCATGGACACCCACATAAAATGACATAGAATACGGAAGTTTCTACTTTTTTGTTTGCTTGTCCTTACTCTCCCTGGCAAGTTCATCCATCCTGTTGAATTTCTTTACTGGCACTAGAACCTACTTCTTTGGGATTCCAATGTGGACTGAAGACCAGCCGAGACATCCATCCTTGTGGACTGAACAACTACCCAATAGATTCCTGGCTTTTTCACAGGACTAGGGGGAAACCACTGTTGCACTGGTCAGGCCACAGCCTGTAAGTCACTGTAATAAATCATACATAAATGTGAATGTTCATATTCATTCTATCAGTTCTGTTCCCCTAGAGAACCCTGACTAATACATGGTTATTTAGCATAAATCTAATTTGTATTCTTTTCTTTGTGTTCCCCAGTCCTACCATAAGAAATAGTAAGCCAACACTACCTTTTTCTCCCCCCTCTTTTTCACTTTTCCTGCCAGTTCTAAGCCTAACACAGAGGTTGGTGTCTATCTGTCTTTTTTCTCATTGTTATTCCTCCTTTATCCAGGCAAGCTCTTTCTGGGGCAGCTCAGCTTCAGTTGTATGCCCAGAGCAAGAGCCAGGCAACTGATATGACAGCCTGTCCAATAAGACCCTGTCATATGTGTGCTACTTTCAGGGACTGCAATATATTCTATAGCCCATCTGCTGTTTTGAAGACACCCTTATGCTCATATGGTGGGGCTACATTCATGAAGGAGGCATGTCATTCCATGCCACACAGCTGAAGACAGCCACCCTTCAGATGAGGTGGCATTTAGTTGCATGTGTTTTGCCCATAGCAACACCTAGTGTGATGAGAAGTCATGACCTTCAAATTACACACAGGGAAGGATGGCCATATTGAGATTGCTTCCACAGATGCCCCACTATTAGACAGTTTAGCTTCAGCAGAGGGAGAAACTCCAAGAGCTTCTCCCAAATTGATCTTTATTTCTGTCACTTCCCATGCTGGGCACAAAGTGTTATGTGAACTTTACCTGGAAACAAAAACAAACATTTATTCACTCTAAATAGGGCACCAGCAGCAGATCAAAGATGGTCCCACATACATATAACTTGGTTAGCCAATGAGTTCATTATGATTAGCATGTATGAGGGGTTACTTACAGGAATATGGGCAACTTATGATTGGCTAGAGCACTGAAGAAAATGCCTCTCTCCTAACAATAGTGAATCAATCACAAATCCTCAGAGAGAGTAATATTGACTGCCTATATCCCTGCCTGCCCTCTAGCCAAGCCAAGTTTATTCAGGACTTGTGCATAATCACAGTTGCTGAGAGCTCAAGAGGACACCAGCTATATCATAGTTAGAGTCTGGCATTCCACAAGTGTCAATGAAGTCCTTGTTATAAACTCAAACACATCTTATGAACTTACCAAAGCAGAAACATCAATGGGCTCTGCTCTAACTAGTCCTCCAGTGTTTCTGTTGCCTAGTAACATTTGGTCATCACTGAATCAGTGAAACACCCTGTGCAGGTACACACACACACACACACACACACACACACACACACACACACACACACACTCTATAGGTGGATAGTGTGCATGTGTGTATAAGCACACGTGTCTATGCATAGCCTTACTTACTTTACTATCTATATTCTAATTCTCATAATAGCCCATAAGATGGGAATTATTATTGTGTTATTTTCAAGAGGAAACCTAAGCATGTAGATTTTAAGTGACTTGCCAAAGCCTTTTGAGCAGGCTTGGCCTACAGTCTTTATACTTGTTAACATGGTAACATTAATCTTAGCAACATTGCCATCCTCTTCCAGAGATCTTTCCAATATCGATCACGTTTCTCTTTAACATAGTACTGGAGTTCTCTTGATAAAACAAGCTATTTCAATCAGTTTCACATTTGCTTCTTCTCTTAAAAATCCAGACTGCTGTTTACAGGTTCCCCTCCTACCTCCCTACGACCATTCCCCAGGGACTCTGTGGAACCTTAATGCAGAACTGGCTTTCCTCCCTCCCATTGACCCTCTCAGCTCTCCCTTATAGCTCATCCCCATTCCTTTGGGTCACCCAACAATACCTAGAAACACTCTTCCTGAGATCCCCAGTGGCCACACTGGCCTGGGAATGAGGTAGGCAATTTTCAGTCTCCTTTTGAGCCTCCATTATGATCTGTCCTATCTTATCCACAGCCCTATATCAGCCTGGTTGCAGGTTCCTCTCCTCCTACCTTCCCTCCATTAACTGAGGACTCTAACTCTGGTACTGACCCAGAGTCCCCTTAGCCCTTTCATCCCTGTCTCTCCAGATACATTCCTCGTCTTACTGCAACCTATTTTCAGGAGCCTTTTCTTCCTCAACAACTCCAACAACCTGGGGACCCCACTTGTAGGTGGGAATAGGATCATTTTAGTTCTTTCCCAAAGCCATTTTTTACTTTTTCTCCTAGCCCATCTCTATTCCCCTCTACAAGCCACCACTGACCTGCAGAACCACACTCTACCAGGGAACCCACAACCACCACACTTTCCTAAGATCCAGAGAGGGCAACAAAAACCAAGGAACAGAACACCTACCCAACAAAGACAAGACTATATCAATACCTGGAATCACAATCATCTCTAACCCGGGAGCTTAGACGCTAGCAAAAACACTAACAGCCAAGACAAATATGCCTTCACCAGAACCCAGTAACTGTACTACAGTAGGCATAAACTTCAAAATAAAATAACTACCTTGAATATGTTCAAGGAGCCTAAAGAGGATATGAATAAATCCTTTAATGAAGTCCTTAAAAACAAAAAGAAATAGAGGATGAAACGATGAACACAATTGAAGATCTGAATCACACTCACTTACACACACACATATACACAATGAAATAAAACTGGAAATGAAAAATTTAGGAAGTCAAAAAAAAGCTTCAGAGGTAAACTTCACCAACAGAGTACAATTTATGGAAGACAGAATTTCAGACATTAAACACAAGATAGAAAAAATGGACACCCAAGTTAAAGAAAATACTAAATCTAAAAAAAAAAATCCAGACATGAAGCTTCTAGAAAATTTGGGACACTCTGAAAGGACCAAATTTTATGAATAATAGGAACAGAGAAAAGAAAAGAAACCCAGATAAAAAGGCACAGAAAATATTTTTAACAAAATCATAGGAGAAAATTTCCCACCCTAAAGAATCAGTTACAAAGTACAAAAATTATACAGAGCCCTAAATAGACAGTACAAGAAAAGAAATCCCCATGTCACATAAAAATCAAAACACTAAACATACAGAACAAAAAATATTAAAAGCTGTAAGAGAAAAAGATCAGATAACATACAAAGACAGACCTATTAGAATAACACCTGACTTTTCAATGGAGATTCTAAAAGCTGACAGGCTGGACAGATGTTTCACATTA